GATAGAGTAAAATAAAACAAAATATTTTTAAAAAATACATTTTAAAAAAGTCTAGCCTCTTTCTAAAACACTTGTTTTTAAAGCAACAGAGCGAGAACAATGTTTAGTTTTAGTAGAGGTTTTACGGCGCTCGCAACTGCATACGGTCATAATTATGAGCGCCAGAAGATTAGAGGTGTTACAAGAGAGTAACAAACATAAAAAAAGAAGGGGAGATAAGGACGATAGATGTTCGATAGGAAAGAAGAAGCAAACCACATCAGAGCACCACCCGCCAACCACCCACAGCGACATCAAAAATATCTTCAAAAAAGACATACAATTAATAAGAAAGATTAATTCATGCAGGTGTCTATTAACGACCTCATCGATACAAGTTTAATCATTTAGGAGGCGGGCTTCCATCATTGCCTCCTAGGGCTGAGATGAGAGGGGATACAACATCAAAGAAGAAAGACCAGCGATACTCTATAAGAATTGTCTCCTCTTTCCTTTCTCCCCCCCCCCTTTTTATATCTGTCTGTCTGTCTGTCTGTCTGTCTGTCTGTCTCTCTCTCTCTCTCTCTCTCTCTCTCTCTCTCTCTCTCTATCCATCTCTCGGTCCGGAAGTACGCATGTGTGCAATTACGTGTTTGTATGCGTAGGCAATAATGTATAAATAGCATGTATGTATGTGAGTGTGTATGTGTTACGTATGTGTGTGTGTGTGTGTGTGTGTGTGTGTGTGTGTATGTGTGTGTTTTAGTGCATGTGGCAGTCTCAAATTCCACCTTTCGTACACTGTATGCGTATAATTTGTTGACAAACTGCACAAGTATAGAATTCATTAGAATACTTCATTCCGAGATAGAGGGGGGAGGGGGAATGACCAACTGTAAATTCTATACTGTAAGATCAGATATCACGTAGTGTAACTTTTCTTTTCTGGAAAATTGCATCTCATTCCATTGTATAGTAGTGGGAATAAGATTTCATAATCAGCAACTGATAGTGTGATATTGTACGGGATTGGGTATATAAAATAAGGAAAAAACAATGAGTACGAAGACACGACCAGATTGTTGACTGAAAAGCTGGAGTACTGGTTTGATCTTCTCAATAATTTTCTTTTTTCCTACGTCGGCTTTATCAATAAAAACAACCTCCCTTACTGAAGTATTCTACCAGATCCGTCTGGTTTTGTTGTGAAAGCAGATGAAAATGACATACAACATAACTGTACACATTTCCGCGTGCCTTCGGGTGGTTTTTATCGAAACAAGTCGTCCACATGTCAGACCCAGAAGACACGGTGGAGCTCAGCTTTTGAGAACCGAAACAATGACCAGAAATTCAGGCTAGTAAATACAATTTTTTTTTTATTTGGTGGGTAAGGAGCTTAATGAAAATGTTTAACTCACGTTTGTAAAACTTATATTTCAGGGCTGACTTGAATCTCTTTATGGACCTACATCATCTTTTTAAAGATTTTGACCTTATCGTTCCCATGAAGTGCACCGTTAGCTAGTTGGTAACATTCTGATCTACAAAATGGATGGCCCAAGTTCGAATTCCCAAAGGGGCGTTTTGAACGTCAGATGCTTTGAGGAGTTTAAAAGCTTTCCACCCATTTGCCTCGGTCCAAATAGATTTTAAAATTAGTGATCCTTTCTCTTAAGTAACTAATTGTGCCGAAAAGGGGTCGAACTTATACAATGAATGGCATTTCCTATCAGAGAAGGGAGTAAATCATAAGGCATCCACAAAGTTGACATCAGACTCATAAGAATAAAACTTCAAAACGTTTGGAAACCGTTAGGATTCTTTCATGACGATTGAGACTTTTCTTGACAGCCTGAACAATGGCCCTAGTAACCAGGAATTGATTAAGAACCATATGGAGACACCATAA